GTGTATGTGTGTGTGTGTATAATTGCTTTGTTATTATTAGACTTTAATTGTAGGGTTGAAAGAGCTCAGGGATTCACCTGACTCATTTTCTGGCACTTTTAAGCCATCACAGACAGATGAAAAAATATTTTAGTGTTTTCTAGCACTTGCTCTGTGCCCTGCAATGTTTGAAGCGGTTGATGTAAATTAACTCATTTAGCCCTGACATCCACCCAAAGGGATGGGCACAGTTATTATTCCCGTGTGCCATATAAGGAAACGGAAATGCCGAGCAGTTCAGCATCTTGCCCTGTAAGGACTGGATCATGAACTTGAACCCAGACACCAGACTGTGTACTTTTGATCATTACGTTACCACCTGCCTCTTCTCTCTTTCTTACTAGATTTTCCAATTTTAAGGGTTAATTTTTACTCTCACTTTCCTTTACCTAACATGGTTTTCTCAGCCTGTAATGCTCCTTTTCAGTTTGTTTTCCTTTTTCTGAGCACTTCTCCAACCTTCTGTCAGTCACTGCTGTTCCATTCTCTCATCTTCCTCCTCAGTGATATTCCGTAACCCTCAAACCATTTCTGAATTCTTAGGTTATATATCAGGACTAGAAGCTGGCACTTTAATAATGGCTTGACCAGTTCTGAGTAAGTTAATGTTAATAGTACAATTACCTCATGCTTTCTGCACATACCCTCTATTCCTGTTTACCACATCTTTTTTTCTGCTGCAATTTGCAAAAACACATTTTTCTTGCCTTAGGTTGTGCAATGAATGATGCCATTTTATGCATTCATGATCATACCTCAGATTTCCCAAGACCTTTGATTGTGGACTGTAATCCACAGATATATTCACCTCTTTGTGGACATTGTATAGCATCCCTTCGGGTTATTTATGAAAGTTTCTAACTTTCATGTATCCTAGAATCTTCTAGCTCTTGAGACAAGCTGCTATTAATATGTCAAATGTGTAAATTCCCATTCTGCACATAATTGTCCGACAGCTGTGTGATTCAGTTTGGTCGATGGATACTCTGTACCAGCTGTTTGCATGTTATCCTTCTGACTGAATTGGAGGGAGGAGAGTAAAGCGCAGAACCGTCTCTTCCCCACCCCCCAGCTCTCCTCACCCCGTCTACCAACCCCCTCTCCACTAGGTCACACCTAGTGGACTTTCTACCCCAATGAAGATGCGTTTCTGCAGATGCAGATGTGTTTTCTGCTTCCTAAACCAAAGAAAAGCATTACATGATGACTGAGTACCACATCGTGTTGAGTGATTGCTGCTGTATTTTATGGCCAAGAAGAATTCCACAGGATTATAATTTGTAAATGCAGCGTTCCCCCCCATCCTTAGCTTCGCATGGTAATAGTTAGTATTTAGAGTCTGAGGTGTCTGGGGATGGAGATTAACAGCTCCCTCACATGTGTTTTCTTGACTGTGCCTCTGCTGCTGGGTTCTTTGTTTCTGTCTTGGGTGTTGCTAGCCTGGATTGTCTCCCCTAGAGGTCCTGACCTCGGTTCAGAAGCCCCCAGACTCAGGACCCCTGCTGCCACTTCACTTCCTTTAGAGCAAGGTCTTGGCTACATTATCTCTTCACCCTTCTTTGAAAGTGATGCACATGCTTGCTGAAACTGTCCATGATATGTCCAGTTAGTGCACCCATTTAGCATAATAAAGGTATATTTAAGCCCTGTTACCTGGCATGTTTATGTTCCTGTGAGCGACTGCCCAGACCATGGGGACTTTGGCCAGTGGATTGGAGATAAGGGAGTGCTTTTCCTACCAGTTGGGAGCTTCCATGTTCTCATGGCATCCTCTTCTCACCTGGGTACATCATGACAACGTTGTAATTTGTGTTTCCCTGTAGGCTTCCCCCACCTGACTGAAAATTTCAAAGACTGTGAGCACAGAGTTCTGGGCTTGGCTTGGTGAGGTTCCGCAGCACTAACCTTTGTTTTCCCTGCCTCGTTCCAAATGTTATTCAAGATGGTAGCATTAGTACCAATCCAAGGAAACTCTTGGTTTTAATAGACTTTTAGAAATTGGCCAAGACACGTATGTACTATACACCTATATGTTTGAAAAACAATGTAATTTCTCAGCAGTGGACTTGGAACCAGCTTTTTGGAAAACAACTACCTTTGGTCCAATTTCATCACCTCTGCACCTTTGCCCCTGTGATGTCCTCCAGGAATGCCTTTCTTCTGTGGTGCTCCCACCTACCAAATTGTTCTTCACTCTCAAAGCCAGCCAAGAGTCTTCCCCCACTCCTCTTCCTTCCAGAGCTCACCCCTCTCTTTCACTGGGCTTAAATACACTTTTATTATGCCAAATACAGTTAGCTCTGATTATTTAAAATTACCGAATCTATCCTCCTGTGTTAGACTAGAGCTTCTTGAGGCCAAGGCCCATATCTATTCACTTTGCGTTTCTACTCATATTACGGTGCTGAGTAAAGTGGAGTTGGATGAGATCCCTTTATAATCACAGCACTGGAGGAGGGGGAAGGATCATCTGCTGAAGAGAATAGGGACCCAAGTGGAGAAAGGGAACAGGGCAGGTCGTTGTTTGGATGACTGTTGGGAGGCTGAGATGAGACGGAAGATGAGTTTGGGGCAAGTCAAAGGAGACAACGCCAGGCCAGTGTGGGTGGTGGCAGGCATCTTAGCAGTCACGGACTGAGGTGTAAGCAGAGGAGTAGGGGCTGTGGGAGTCATAGATGGAGCCCTGGCAATGGCAGTTCTACATGGGAGGCAAGATGAGAGGTGCAGTGTTGAGAGAAGGGGAAGGACCTTGGAGATGACGGCCATATTGGAAGCACAGCCATAGCTGGTGCCTGGCAGGGGGTGGCGGCGGGCAGTGGGGAAAGGTGGTGAGGAAGGTCAGGGAGGGGATTGCTGTGACCGTAGCAACTTTGGGTGGCCAGGAGTTTGGGGCAGTTGTACATACTTTGCTGACAAAGGTCCATCTAGTCAAAGCTGTGGTTTTTCCCATAGTCATGTATGGATGTGAGAGTTGGACTGTAAAGAAAACTGAGCACCGAAGAATTGATGCTTTTGAACTGTGGTGTTGGAGAAGACTCTTGAGAGTCCCTTGGACTGCAAGGTCAAACCAGTCAGTCCTAAAGGAAATCAGTCCTGAATATTCATTGAAAGGACTGATGCTGAAGCTGAAGCTCCAATACTTTGGCCACATGATGTGAAGAACTGACTCACTGGAAAAGACCCTGATACTGGGAAAGATTGAAGGCGGGAGAAGGGGACAACAGAGGATGAGATGGTTGGATGGCATCACTGACTCGATGGACATGAATTTGAGTAAACTCCGGGATTTGGTGATGGACAGGGAAGCCTGGTGTGCTGTGGTTCATGGGGTCACAAAGAGTCGGACATGACTGAGTGAACTGAACTGACACCCTGAAGGGTCAGTCAGTGATTGATGATTGAATTGTGTCTTAGGTAGCTGTGAGGAGCTGGAGGTGGTAAAAAGAACCCAGTGGCAAGCTTGGCTGAGCTTGCCAGGGAGTGAGGTCATCTGTGACCATAATGCTGAGCAAACAGGATTAAAGGGCACATCAGGAACTTGCTTTATCCTCTCCTCCTCTCCCCTGTTCCAACTTCTATTCTGTGGGCTTGAGTTTTCTGTCCCTGCATGAAATCTAAGGCAGACTTCACTACTTCTCAGCTTCTCTCAGATTAAAAAAAATTTTTTTCTCAATAACTTTTATCCATAAATACAGTCTTGGTTTAGTAATATATGGTCTAGTCCAGTGTAATAATACTTTTTTTTTTTCATTAAAGGTAAATCTTCTCTTGCTCTTGCAGCTCCTTTTTCCTGGAGATGTGAACCCCGTGGTGAGGGAGGGAGTACCCAGGGGCTTCTCCCTGTTTTCCCTCTAAATCATCGGCACTCCCTCCTCCCGTCACCAGGCAACTGCCACTTCTTCGGAATAGACGGGGGAGGTGGGCTTGGTAAAGTGCAGGAAGGTCCCGTGGCACGACATCAGCTTGCCTTGGGTTTCCCGCCATGGCAGATGTCAATCCTGTGGGCTTCCCAGGTAGCTCAACGGAAAAGAATCCGCCTGCCCAACCAGAGATGCATATTCAAGCCCGGGTCAGGACGATCCCCTGGAGTAGCAAATGGCAACCCACTCCAGTTTTCTTGCCTGGAAAATTCCACTGACAGAAGAGCCTGGCAGACTACAGTCCACGGAGCCGCAAAGAGTCAGACACAGCTGATCATGCAGGCATGGCGCAGGTCACAGGCTCTCCAGTGGGGACAGTCTCCCTCCTTCACCTCTGTGGCTGTCTCGCCTGTATTTTCTCTGACATGGGGAATACACCTCCTTTTCAGCAAACCTTAGTTTGCTGCTGAGATTTCCACACCCACCCTCTGCTCAACTCACTCAGCTGCTGGGCTGTGCTAAGTCTTGTCCAATGCAGTGACGCAGTGGTCTGTGGCCCACCAGGCTCCTCTCTCCCTGGAATTTTCCAGACAAGAATCCTGGAGCGGGTGCCATTTCCTCCTCCAGGGGATTTTCCCAACCCAGGGATGGAACCCGTGTCAGGCAGCTCTCATTCAGCACTTATGGAATCTCTGGGTGTAAATATTCTCCTAGTTCCTGAGAGTGAGGTGGGAGCTGGACACGCCTGGGGGTAAATGCCGCGCAGATGGTGGCTGAAGTGTGGAGAGTGGACATGCTAGTCCAGCAGAGACAGGGAACCCCACAGAGACCCACATTCCAGAAGCAGGAGAACAAGGGACTGGCCAAGAGGGTGGAAGCCTCTTCCACAGTGTTGTTTTTACAGAGGGGCAGACCATACAGGAGTCAGCTGAGTATTACGTCTATTATTGTTTCCATCTTTTACCCACATTAAAGGCATGCATTTTAAGTTTGATTGTGAAAGGACTCTAAACTATCTTCTTCCTGTTTTGAAAATTGATCTTGATTTTACTTTAGAATTTCTAATTTATTGAAGATAAGTTTTAACTTTTTTTTTTCCAGTTGTGTATGAACACAGATCAAGATTGGAGAAATCCTTGCAAAAGGAAAGACTTGAACATAAGAAAGCAAAGGAAGGTAAATAAATAATGTAATTTGTGTTTGACATTTCTTATGCTCTTCTTTGAAGTATCATGTACTTGCTTTACTGTTTTTTTGTTAGAAATTTTTCAAATCACCCAAAGTCAGTCAAGCAGCATGCTATACATTGTGCAACAAAATAATTCCTGCTCAAGATTGGATTTAGAATTTTTCATTTAGTTTGTGCCTCTTTGAGGTCATTCATATATTAGTTATATGTATTAGTTAAGAAATAGCACACAGTTTTTCATTTGAATATTGTATATGTTATTAACATCTGTCAACAGACATCTGGGAAAGTAATACCATGCAGTCCAGAATATGACAAGCTTTATGTATACATATATATATGTATATATGCGTTTATAGCATAATCAATTTCAATCTCATTGCATGACATCTTTTAAGTTATAGACCTGTTTTTCCTCTTGTGCTAAAGACTTTATTGGCATAGCCGATTGGTTTGTTTTAAAAAATTAACGTTTAGCACAGGTGTTAAATAAAAATCAATGCTGTTGATTTTTATCAGAATTTTTCTATAAAACATGGACTTGGTATAGCTTGTGGTTTGGAGTTACCTGCATTCTTATTTTTATTTATTCATCTTTTTGGTTAAACATTAGATTGAAGCGGTGTTTTGTTATTACTTTGGTACGGGGTAGAAGGAGGGAGAACAGAGGAGGACAGTGTGAACTGGGAAGTTTTACTGAGAAGTGTTAAGATTATTAAAATGCTTTGATGGGATTGGGATTTTCCTGGTCTTCAGATGCAGAGTGATTTTGTAGAGCCACCTAGTGGATAATAAAGCCTTAAGCGCATTAAAGATGGTTTCCTTGGCTTGAGGTCCTGCATGACTTTAGTGCGCCATCTAGTGGCTGGCAGTAAATCATCTCTGTCCTCAGGTGCCCTGCATGGTTCTGATTTTTTCCTCCTTCACTTCAAGGAGAGGTCGTCACCAAGTCCACACTCTAAATGCACTTTTAGTCAGTTGGCTATAGTGTGTATTTTGTTGATACAAGATTCACAACTTTAAGGTATGGAGGAAAACTTTTAAAGCATTAAAAGACAAAATAAAGTATGTCATCAAATAGATTTTTTAGGTCTGAGTAAAATGTGCCCTTGTGTTTTTAGATGTCTAAAAATGCCACAATGAATTAACTTATAGTAATAGAGTTAATTAATGTAATTATATTCTCCATTTTCTATTTTATAGATTTTCTAGTTTATAAATTAGAAGCACAAGAAACACTGAATAAGGGAAGGGTAAGTTGTTTTTTTTTCTCCCTTAATTTATTTCACAAAACTTGACTGAGGGGGAAATAAAGTCTCCAAACATTTTACTCTGTTGATCATTAGGACTGAAATACATCTCCCTCCATCCTTTCCTTCCTTCCTTCCCAAAAAAATTCTGAGAGGAAGACCTTAAAAATTGTTCCTTGAAAACCTACCTTCCTTTGCTTATCACATTATTGGCGATAGTGATAAATTGAAAATATCCTTAATATTCCACAATAAAGAGATTCATTTGTTTATTCATATAGAATGTGATATTTAGTTTGATTTGTCTTTGTACCGTGTTACTGTCACTTGCAGAGACATTACTGTGTAATGTCTAACACAATACCTGGCCTAGAGTTCACATGTTCAAATGTTCAAAAACGTCTGTAAAATGAATGGATAAATAAATGATATTGACATTTTAAAAAAGTTTTTCAGTCCAAATTAACTAGGGGAAAACACTTTTTTCTCTTACTGTAAGAAAAACGTGTAAGTATTGGTTGAAGAAAGCACTGGTGTTGTGGGGTATTAAAACTGAGAAGAGTCGGTTCCTTGAATAGCTAGGAGGTTACTGGCTTTTCCCTCTTACTTGCATTTTTAAGACCTAGTCAAGATCGTGTGTGTTCTGTTGTGCATTTTGTGATGTAATATATTACAAATTAAAATAAAGTGGTAAAGTGATAAAAATGAAGTGTTAAAGCAAAAATGCGGTCCATTTTAGAAGTTGCAAGAACATGAAAGAAAGAAAGAGATGAAGCTGTGCTTATCCTGCCGATGGTGGAACGTAAGAGGCAGGCGTGTACGAGAGAAAACACAGCAGCCTGGTGAGAGGAAAGTGGCAGGTGCGGTTTGTGCACCGACCCCGCTGGGGCTGCCCCGGACTGGACCTGTGTGAGCTCCGAAAGTGAAGATGCTCCACCGGGACATGAGCACCCCCTGCTGGGGCCCGGAGTTCAGTGGGCGCTCCGGCTCAGGGTCCTGTGCTGGCTCTGCCCCCAAAGGAGACGTTTGCCCTAGGCCTGTTCCCTTAGCCTTTCTCTTTCTCTCTGTGAGCTGGCGCTGTAGTAGAGAATCTGCCTGCAATACAGGAGATGCAAGAGGCCTGGATTCAATCCCTGGGTCGGGAAGATCTCCTGGAGGAAGAAATGGCAACCCACTCCAGTGTTGTTGCCTGAAAAATTCCACGGACCGAGGAGCCTGGAGGGCTGTAGTTACTGGGATCACAGAGTCAGACGTGACTGAGGACACACACACACACACACACACACACACACACAATGTGTGTAGAAGTTCTTACCGGTGGAAACTCAAGGAAGAAAAGTGCCTTTTCTCTCCCTTTCTGGAACCCATTCTAAGCTTGTGAGGCTGGTCTCTGCTGGTTTCTCTCCTGTTCTTGGAGCACAAGGTACCAGCCATATGCGATGCTGTGTCTCAGGACAAGCTCTTCTGTGCCTCTGGCCTCAGTGCTTCTTCTGAATGTGAGAGTGGAAGTAAATCACCTCCAAGGGCCCTTTCAAACTGCTGTTTTATAATTCCATGCCCTGCTTTTTCATCATTAAAGTCTTGCAAACTTGGAGGAATATAAAACTTCATTTCTGCTATGAAGTAAAGACAGGACCTCAGAAGCATCCCAGATCCAGCTTAGAATTCATTTTTACTTACGTGAACAAGTGAAAACCTTTCATTAAGAGCTTTAAGTTCTGTTTAACAAAAGAGCCAAATGTGTTATCTTTTTGTTAATTATTTGCTTTTCAATTTACAGCAAGATTCTAATAGCAGGTACAGTGCATTGAATGTCCAACATCAGATGCTGAAGGTGAGTAATTTAGAGGTGTTCTTCATGAATGAATGAAGGGGTTAACTAAGTAACTTATGTGATTAAAGAAAGTTTACAGAAAATTGATTTGTACCGTGATATGGTATAATAAGGTCATTTTTGGCTAAAGGTGATATATAATTATAATGCTCCATTATGTTTATCACCTGATTACAAAGGACATATTTAATTCATTATTCATTTTCTTATAAATCAGGGTCTCTGGTCACTTAATTTTTGAGTTTGTTCTTTATCCTTTAAGGATTTTCGTTTGTTTTTGATCTAATTTCTCAGAGTGGTTTTGTTTGAATTTTTTCTTTTTTTATCTTAGACACAGTGGAGACAGTAGAAGTATTAGAATGCTGTCTTCCTGTTACTAAGGTGTCATAAGTGGTCCACCTACCACAGGAGCACAATTTATATTTAAAGATATTCCTTCCTTGGTTTTTGGATAAAACTCATTGTTGTGTGTCAGGGAGACTGAAGAAAAGAGAGAAATGCACTGTTTGTGTCAGGCCGGAAGAGATGAGCAGCGGCTGTCATGCCACCCACACAGTGGGGAATCTATGCCGTCGTCTCCAACGCCCAGTGCCCAGCTTTCTGTTTGGTGTTGGCTTTCCTCCTGTATCAGTAGGGTGTATGCCTTTTATTGAAACCGGAATCTTTACTGTTATCAGGAAAGCAATACGTGAATTAAAGCAGACCACCCATTCACGTTAAGCATTTGGAGACTATAGAATTTATCTAGATTGTGATTATAGTATTATAATCTAGAATAGTGTAAGTAATAATCATTTCTAGAAATAATCGATTTTTTTTTTTACTTCCCCCAAAGGGAAAAAAAGTCTTTTTTTCCCTCTTCTTTAAGCTGGGTTACCAGAAAGGCTGATAATCAAAGAAGGGAAATAAAAAACATTGCTGGGAAAATGTCAGATTGAAAGGCAGTCTAGAGGCTCCATTGAGGGGTGATTTTTCCTTTAGCTTTACCTCGTTTCCACAGTAACTTGAGTCCCTGGGAATTTCCCCAGATCTCTTCCTTTTCCATCACTCTTGTAAATGTCCAACTTCTTGTTGTTCACATTAATGTTAAAAATTAAGGAGAAAATTATTTTTGGCCACAATCCCAAACTATTCATTTGAAATGGAAAGGAAATGGAAGAGAGCTGCACAAATTTAAAGCAGTCAGGAAAACAAAGCCTACTTCATCTGTGCTTACTTTCTTACAAGAGAAAGGCTGTGCAATCGAGAGAGAGACTGATTTAGAGAATGTGTTAGTGCAAATTCTCTGTGCCCAATGTACAGTGAGGCCTAACAAACCAAACCATCAGAATTTGGACAGAGTAAGGTTTATTGCAGAGCCATGCAAGAGATTGGTAGCTCATGCCCTAAAAAAGCCCCAAGCTCCCCCAAGGGTTTGGCAAAGTGAGGGAGGTGGGTTGCAGGGTCTGTGATCAGCTTGTGCACAAGTGTCTGATTGGTTGACGGTGAGGTAGCAGGGTAGAGTTAGCATTATCAGTCCTTAGGCTCCAGGAGGCCTGAGGCTGTATGCCCATGGTCATCAGGCAGTTAACATCTTCCCTGGGAAGGTGGGGGGATGGTTTCACATCTACAAAACACTTCAGGAAATGGGCATCAAATACTGTATCTAGGTACTTCAGAGAGGAGCTAAATCAAAGGATACAGGGTAGGCCTGTCCCAGGAAAGCCCCATAGGGTCCTGCTCAGGTACAAATGTATATCCCTGCTCAAGTTTTCATCTTTGCAGAGTCAACATGAGGAGCTAAAGAAGCAACACAGCGACTTGGAAGAGGAGCACCGCCGACAAGGAGAAGACTTCAGTAGGACATTTAATGACCACAAGCAGAGATACCTGCAGCTGCAGCAGGAGAAAGAACAAGAGCTTTCTAAGCTAAAAGGTATTTGGAAACCTAATGAGCCAGTGTGCATGGAAATGAATGCTCACTTTAATGTTTGAATGGAACAATAGACTTTTGTTTGCTTGGTGATTGATTTACATTACATGTGGTATTTTATCAGCTACTTCTTTATAATATTTCACACTGATCTCTGGGTGTGTTTAGGGAAACAGTAAAGCATACTTAGTGTTTCTCAATGGGACATATTGGCCTTGTTGGGCAAGACAGTTATTTTTGTGCATTGTTAGACATTTAGTATCTCTGACCCCACCCGCAGAATGCCCCTAGTGCTCCCCAGTCACAGGGATAGGTTTCCAGATCTCCACTGGGGCACAAAGACTCTGCTGATCACTAATAGTCACTTTAAAAAGCTCAGGCTCTGAAGTCTGACTGCCCTGGTGAATCAATGACTAGTTTTATGACCATTGGCAAGTTGTAGAAATCACCACAGATTTAATTGTCCTCATCTGTAAAAGTGGGATATTCATAAAAAGTAGTAACCTTATAGAGTTGGTATGAGGATTAAATTATGCAAAGTATAATACAGTTACTGGTATATGGTAAACCTTCAATATATGCTAACCACCATAAATATCAGCATCAAGTATTTTCATAGTAATATGAAATGAAATACATCACTTCTGAGTACATATGAGTTCTGAAAAAGGGCAACAGCATAGCCTACAATCACCTATTCAGGTCCTGAATAAGTTTGAAGTATGAGATTTGGTTTAAAAAGGTACATGGTGCTTACATAAACAAAGATGAAATCACAGTAAGGTCTTCTATAATCTAGTTAATTGTACTGTGCCAAACAATTGCCTGGTTTTATGCAAAACGTCATAGAGATCTGCTGTGTGATATGTCCTTTGGCTTTCTGCACTTTTCTTTCGCTATGCTTCGTCTCTCAGTATTCCAAAATAATAGGTTAATAATGGTATTCCAAAATAATAAGAATTCATTGTAAGTATTTTCTAGGTGCCTGACCTTGGCATACTTCACATTATTTAGTTCATTTAATTTTAGTGAGAGGCTTAAACGGCATGTTATCTTATGTCTACTCTATATTTCCACCTTTCTTTGAAACTCAGTCCATGTGTAGTAAAATTTTATCAAGAAATCAGAACCATGGAAAATAGGAGGACACTTGTATGTGAGTTCTGCATACTTGGACAGTTCAAGCCTGATGGCTGGTCTGAGCATCCTGAGATCCAGAACAAAAGGAGAAGTATAGTCAGTTCTGGGGCTCTTGTCATCAGAAGAGAGAATCTCCCAATATCTTGGAGGGTGAGAGAGACAGAGACAGAAACACAGAGAGTGAGAGAGAGCAGTGTTTTTGGTACCAGTTAATATTTGGAAGGCGTCGCTCATAGAAATTTTAAACAACTTAATATGACAGTGCCTTTGATGACACTTGATAAGTGATTTTCACATCAGCAGTTTTGTTTGATCATGGTCCCTGACAGTAAATTGTGATAGACGAGGGTCTGTCATGGCAAACCATGACGTGTGTAGTCCGACTGATCCTTGGTAGATGAATGTGACACGAGGAGGGAGTTTAGAATTTAGAATGTGGATAATGATGAGTGGACACCATGTAAGCTTAGATGATTCCTCTCATCATCATGGTTATAATAAGAGCTGACACTCAACAAGCGTTGACCATGTGTCAGTACTGGGTGAAACTCTTCCTGCAGGTATCTTATTTAAGCCTCATAACAACCTGGCAGGTAGGCATTATGTTTAACCCAGTTCAACAAATGAAGACATTGAGGCCTGCAAAAGTTAAGTAACTTAGGGTCACACAGCAGAGGCCCAGGCAGCCCTGTATTTCAGCTGCATGTGTGTGTGAGTGGACTGAAGGCCTATCCAGCCTGGGACACACTTGGGGCTCTCTCGGATTGCCGCCGGTGTCCCGTCTTGATGTTTGAGAAAATCTGCTGATACAGATAGGTGGACAACCTAACCACTAGCAACATTCTCACCTTCTTCTTGATCTCTTCCCAAACGTAATCATAAAACCAGTGCCCAGGGATCAAGCAGGGACTCTTAACAGAGTGAAAGCCGGCAAAGAATATGAGGCGGCGTGGTGACCGGCAGCTTCCTGCGGTGCAGAGGGCCACGCTGGAGACAGTAAAGTTCTGCCTGCAGGGAGTGGCTGCCGCTCTGGGGACAGTTTGCCCAGCACCATGCAGGTCCACATCTGCTGCTGTCCCAGCATCAATCTAAAGCAGCACCCCTTTCACTGTCGACCATATCTCCCATTGGAAAATGAATCATATGATCACCCAGCTGCCATTTAACTTCTCCTGAGAATTGGCCTGATGTTGCCAGAATGTTATGAGACCCAGCTTCTTGATTTTTACTTGGTGACAACTCTTTGAATGTGGAAGACACTGAATGTTGGCTAACACTTGCAGGGGCCAAAAAAAAAAGGTCTGTGTGTTGGCCCAGGGGCTACCAATTCATAAGAAATAATGCCCAGATACAGAAAATGTGGGAAAATTACCAAGAGGCTGTTCCCTGAATTGTAGGGCTTGTGGCTGGGGAGGTTTTAAGACTTCACTATGATCACTGCAGTCTCACATTGTAACTGTGGAAAGAATTGTCCAGTAGCTATTGGAGGAACAATTTAGACCAGTCAAGACCCCAATTGTGGGAGACAGAAAATACATTTAGAATTTTTGAGCAGATGGGGTGTCTGTCTCTTATTTGTTTCTTGAATTGCTTTTGTAACTGAAATCCCTTTGGAGAACTGTGGAAATTACTCATGGCTATGAGAGATGCAGTTAGTGCTTTTTGATAGCTTTGTTTTTAATTTCTGGTGAGACTAAAATCTCAGATGACCCCTACCCATTACATTTTATTCCTAAGGATTTGCTTATTAACAGAAATATTTCATTTTTAGCTCAGGAGTAATTAAAAACCCTTAACTTCTATGCCAGATAGCTTGTTTAAGCGTATTTAAACCACTGAGCCATATTGTGTTGGGTTGTCCAACTGAATCTGTGCCACGTCCCAAAATGGTGCTAAGTTTTGTTGATTTGGAGTATTGTACTGTCAAAGTTCAAAACGATCTTTGAAAAAGTTATATGAGGCTTTAGATAGGAAAATGATAGAATCAAGAGCCTGAAAGGCCCAAGGTTTTATGCATGATTTTCCTTTTTCTAAAATAGAAACCGTGTACAATCTGAGAGAAGAGAACAGACAGCTGAGGAGAGCGCATCAGGACATGCACACACAGCTGCAAGATGTCAAGGTAAAAAAAAAAAGCAACAACAACCTAAAAACCCAGCATTTGATTGTTTTGTGTTTGCCTGCTTTACTTTGTAGTGACTTTAAAAGTCATTCACTACTTGACCTGCTTTACAATCCACACTGTTATTTTGGGCTTTTGCAGAAAGTGAACCTGCCCATTACTTCTTGTGCATTGTAAGCTAAAGAATGATCTGGAAATCTCAGCATTTGCATTAGCACTGGAATGATTCTTTTGCTAAATGGTTGAGTCTTAATAAGCTTTTTATTTGTAAAGGTTTATTAATAACTAAAGGTATTTTTCTTCCTGTTTTGATTACCTTGTAAGTGATTATGATTTTTGGGTAGCACATTTTAGATTGTGGATTACCAGCTTAACCATGGTCTTCCCACTGCAAAGATTTTTGAACTTATCAAATGCTACACAGCAAGAAGCCAGCAAGTGAGCAACGTTTGGGTGGCCATACCACTATCTGCCCAAGAGGAGTTTGTCCCAGAATGTCAAAACTCAATATGTAAACTTCTTTTTTGTGTAGCAACAGCATAAGAATTTACTCTCCGAGCATGAGCAACTTGTAGTGACTCTGGAAGACCACAAGAGTGCACTAGCTGCTGCACAGGTTAGGAGGGTAGCCTCCTCTCTGGGTTCCTAAGTCTGCCTAACATTTCTGATTCCTCTGTGCATGCAGTCTCTTAAAGGCCAGTCTTCACTGGGCTCCTTAGGACAGAGCTTTCCTGATCCTGAAGATCATGCATGCTTTCAAAACTCAATCAAGAGAATATCAAGTAAAGCTTTGATCTTTTCTTTTTCCCTGCACTGGCAGTGTGGTTCATAGGACTTTTTCTCCCCTCCACCAACTCCTACATGCAGCAGTCTAATACTTGTCTAAGTCAGAGAATTCATCCCACATTTATGGTTTTTTGCCACTCTATAGATCTATGTAGACTTGCTATACTATCTACAGGATTTTATAGGCTAATTACCTAAGTAAATTATTATAAACTATATTTTACTCCTCCTTCCGTTGCTCCCAGCTTTTCGCCTGCATACACTCCTTTTGGGCCTAGGCTTATGTGTTGTTAGGTCAAATTACAGGAAATAAGAAATCTCAGGTAAATAGAGAAGGAAAACATAGTTGTAAGTTTCATTTGTTCAAAGCCTACAACAGTCCTCGCACAAGGCAGGCCCTCCATAGATAATGTATTAAATGAACAAATGCAGGTGTTAGAGAGCTTAGTGAAGTAATGTCACACTGACTGTCTTACAGCTTCATCATTGAAGCAAATAGGAATGGCTAGTTTAGTCACTGTATATTCTGAATCACTGGCCTTCACTTTTCTTCTCTTGGAAGAATTAAAAGAGCAAAGGAAAACCAACTATTTGTTCTTACCAGGAGACTGTGCATTATTTTTTGTCTTTATAAAATTTTTAAAAGAATTATATGCCAGGCCCTGATCTGTTTCAGAAACTGTAACATCTGGGTCTGTGGGACCCCTTTTCAAGGCAGTCATTGATTATCCCCCTACAAAACTGTAGCTGTATGGTAATTTTTTACATGTTTATCAATTAAATTGGCTTTAGAGGATATTATTACATTCAAAATCTTCTTTATAAAATTTCTGCCAAGCTTTGTTACATGAGGCTGCTTTTCATACTAAAAAATATGGCAGACCAATTTGAATACTCTAGGTACTATAATAACCATAAATATTAAATTAAGCAGGGACTTGAAAGTTCAGAAAAATGTGAGTAAAGTAGTTCACTTAATGACCAAAACCAAATTCTGTTGTAAGCTCACTGGGGAATATTACTTGCAAGATTTTGTAATAGAAAACAAATTTTTAAATTTAATATACATGTATTTTTTTATTTCTTTGAATATCTTTTTGGTTTTTTTGGATGAGGTCGTCAAGTTTCTCCTGTTCTTTTACTCCCCAGTTGAAACTTTCCCCAGATCTGCTTAGAAAACAACTGCTATTTCAGGCATATACGTTTCTCATGTAAATCATCTTATGAGATTCTGTCTTGACAATCTGATTTTTAAATGTAATTAACGGGGGAGACAGCAGGAACTGAGTGGAATTTGAGAGCTTAGAATTTGTCAGGGATTATCATAATAACTTTATATATAGAATTTTATTTAATATTCACAACCTATTGAGTTATATAATAACTGTATATTTTTTATAACTAAACAAAATAAGGTCAAAAGGAGTAGAGAAGCTGGCCCAATATCAGTGCCCAGAACCACCTTGAAGCTGGGATTTGTGGAGATTCCCCGTATTACAGTTATGTGGGCCTTCCCCCACACCTACTGAATACTGATTTCTAGGGTGGGCATCTAGGAGCCTTCATTTTTAACATGGTCATTCCATAATTTAACATGATTATTCATGCATGCTCATATTTGAGGACCATAGTATTTCTCCCTTCGAAGGTTATATACGTAGGAGGAGGAGAAAGAAGAAAGGGTAGAATATTTGTCTTATTAAAAGCATCACTGTGTGGATGTCATTTTTTTCCCCTTTGACCTCCAAAGTTGGTTTGCAAATGTTTTGATAGGTTTCTGGGTAAGGGCCACTGTTAGCCATATGGCACACATTTGTACAAATGATAAAGAAGCACGCCCCTGAGACAGATCCAGCAGGCAGACTTCTCTGTGTGAATTAGAAAAAGGCAGGGAGAGGGTGGGAGAATATTGTGCAGGTGCACAACTGTGGCCGAGGGAGCAAGACTCACCAGCCTCCTCTCTCTGCTCTGCTGGGCACAGTGAGGGGGGGCGCCCTGCCTGGGAAGCTTGTTCAGAAGAGATTTCTGGGTTCTTTGTATGTGCTTATGTAAATGTGTGTTTACACGTATAGCACTTCTGTTTTAGGATAACAGTGCTGGTGCATATGATAAGATAAGTGTAAGCAGTCTAGTGGTTTTTCTTAACATATTTATTTTTTCCATCTTTGTAGCTTCTGGTATTTAAAGTATCACACACACACACCCACACACACACACCCTACCACATATACACACAGATAACACACAAATGAGTATATTCTCGTCCTACACCTGCATTAGTGCCTTTGTCATTTTAGAAGAAAAGGATATTCAGAATCGAAGAATAAGAATAAAAACTCAGCCTCCTTTCATGCCTATGCAGAGCACAATACAGGGAGCTTTTTGGAGAGGAAGGGACCTTATGTGACCACAGATTGACTGGGAAAGAGGGTGGCCTGAGTGATTTTACATATATAATCAGTTACTTATTTGAACCATATGGTTCTTTCTGCTGAAAAGTGTTACTCAGACCATACTAGTAAAAGATATCTGCACTTAATTTATATAAATGTGGAATTTTAAAATAGATCTTAATGTCATAAAACTGATTGCATAGCTGTCTTTTAATAATGATATTTATACTAGAGAGTTATTTATAAAAATTCTGACTTAGTTTAATGTAGCATGGGAAACTAACATCTGTCTTAGATATTTTTTTCTCTGTTCCCTTTAACTCTAATTCTAATTTGCATGTGATTAAAAATGGTTGAGCATGTCCAAGTAAGTATAGCTAATGCATGGAAACAGTCTGCATATTTTTCCTCTCTTGCATTTAGGTATATTTTTGTCTAGTCCTCCACTGAACCATCTATGAATGATATCCTTTTCCCTCCTCAAATTGTGCAATTTGCATCCAATTGTGCAATTTGCAATGCAGACTCAAGTTGCAGAATATAAACAACTGAAAGATACACTGAATAGGATTCCAAGCTTTCGAAAGCCAGAACAAACAGAACAGCAAAATCTGACCCAGGCGGCACATTCTCCACAGGATGACCTCACAGCAAGGGGCAAGTCACCTGGAGAGCCTCGGGAGGTAAGAGTTGGGAACTGGTCTGTGGTCGAGTCATTTTCCCTGTCACGCTGTTCCCGGGTGACCTGCCCTAAATAGGGTCAGCTCTTCCTGCAGAACACTGATTCTCAAATTTTAGCACTTATCAAGAGTTCCCCATTAGGGCTGCTAAAACAGGAAGAGCTGTTTTCAGCCCACCGGTTGGGCTTCCCAGCTGGCTCAGTGGTAAAGAATCCACCTGCCAAAGCAGGAGACTCGGGTTCAATCCCTGGGTCGAGAAGATCTCCTGGGAGAGGAAACGGCAACCCACTCCAGTATTCTGGCCTGGAGAATCCCATGGATAGAGGAGCCTGGTGGGCTACAGGCCATGGGGTCACAGAGTCAGACCTGACTGAGCAACTGAACAACAAGCCGACAGGTTACAGTTCAGCTAATTTGGGATGAAACCTGAGGATCTGCATTTCAGTTTCAGCTGGTCTGGTGATGTACACTTTGAGAACTGCTGTCTTGTTTTCTGACAAACTCTAATCTAGTTTTATCTTTCTTCATATGGGTCTATTTGGTTGAAAAGAGCTATCATGTCTGAGTATTTTAAGGGTTTTTTTTGGGGGGGGTTGGGGTAGAGTAAGAAGGTTAAATGATTGTGAGGATATTATATGATAATCAGTCCACTCAAGTACTAAAGCTGATAATATATTTGAACTTGATACTGTACTAGGCCATACAGCATATGTCAAAGTTTGTATTTTAAGACCTTCATGAAACTGCAAGGGAGTAAGTGCTAGTCACAGAATCCACTCTTTTGTATTCCCGTTCTTTATAAAATTAAGTCTTGTTGTTTAAGAATATCTCCCAAGTGGAGCATCCCAAATGATGTCACCCATATGATTAATTCTTACCGAATTGTTTTTGTAATCAGATCTTTCCCTTGACAAAGACACTTTAAACAATGAATGTTTGAGAAGACTTTCTCCAACTCATCTTCTTATCATCTTATGGGAATAATTAAGTTGGTATAAGTGAACTTCACTTGAATCTTCAGTCTGAGCAAAGCATTCCTTCACAGACAGGTTCTGTGTCCTGGATACTTGCTCTTTGTCTGGGTCTTATGTTGCTCTGAACTTCAGAAAACACAGTCAGCGCCCTGGTGCGGGAACTGGTTCTACTCTCTATCCAAGTTCAACTGGGTTAATCTTTTAATGACTCTGACTTTTTAGTTTTTCTATCTGTGAAACAGAGGTAATAATTATTTGCCCTAACCTTTCTCACAGGGATGTTGTGGAGGTAAATGGCAGGTGTTTGAAAGTACTTAGAGTCCTTCAGAGAAATATTTCCTATAAAGCCAGCCAGCGTGCTTCCTAAGTTGCCTCAGTCATGTCTGACCTTTTGCAACCCCATGGTCTGTACCCTGCCAGGCTCCTCTGCCCATGGGATTCTCCGGGCAAGAATACTGGAGTGGGTTGCCAATCCCTTCTCAGGGAGATTTTCCCAACCCAGGGATCGAACCTGTATCTCTTGATTCTCCTGCATTGGCAGGCAGGTTCTTTACCACTATAAAGCCAGTTCAGTTCAGTCGTTCAGTCGTGTCCAACCCTTTGCGATGTGATGGACTGCAGCATGTCAGTCTTCTCTGTCCATCACCAACTCCAAGAGCTTACTCAAACTCTTGTCCATTGAGTTGGTGATGCCCTCCAACCATCTCATCCTCTGTTGTCCCCTTCTTCTCCCACCTTCCGTCTTTTCCAGCATCAGGGTCTTTTCCAGTGAGTTAGTTCTTCACATCAGGTGGCCAAAATATTGGAGTTTCCGCTTCAGCATCATCCTTCCAATGAATATTAAGGACTGATTTCCTTTAGGATGGACTGGTTGGATCTCCTTGCTGTCCAAGGGACTCTTAAGAGTCTTCTCCAAGACCATAGTTCAAAAGCATCAATTCTTTTGTGCTCAGATTTCTTTATAGTCCAACTCTCATATCCATACATGACTACTGGAAAAATCATAGCTTTGACTAGATGGACCTTTATTGGCAAAGTAATATCTCTGTTTTTTAATATGCTGTCTAGCTTGGTCATAACTTTTCTTCCAGGGAGCAAGCGTCTTTTAATTTCATGGCTTCAGTCACCATCTGCAATGATTTTGAAGCCCCCAAAAATCAACTCTGTCACTGTTCCCATTGCTTCCCCATCTATTTGCCTTGAAGTGATGGGACCAGATGCCATGGTCTTAGTTTTCTGAATGTTGAGTTTTAAGCCAACTTTTTCACTCTCCTCTTTCACTTTCATCAAGAGTCTCTGTAGTTCTTCGCTTTCTGCCATAAGGGTGGTGTCATCTGCATATCTGAGGTTATTGATATTTCTCCCAGCAGTCTTGATTCCAGCTTGTGCTTCATCCAGTCCAGCACTTCTCATGATGTACTCTGCATATAAGTTAAATAAGCAGGGTGACAGTATACAGTCTTGACGTACTCCTTTCCCGATTTGCAACCAGTCTGTTGTTTCATGTCCAGTTCTAACTGTTGCTTCTTGACCTCCTGACAGATTTCTCAGGAGGCAGGTCAGGTGGTCTGGTATACCCATCTCTTTAAGAATTTTCCACACTTTGTTGTGATCCACACAGTCAAAGGCTTGGCATAGTCAATAAAACAGAAGTAGATGTTTTTCTGGAACTCACTTGCTTTTTCAATGATCCAAAGGATGTTGGCAGTTTGATCTCTGGTTCATCTGCCTTTTCTAAAACCAGCTTGAACATCTGGAAGTTCACAGTTCATGTACTGTTGAAGCCTGGCTTGGAGAGTTTTGAGCATTACTTTGTTAGCCTGACTATAGAGCCAGGGCAGTATCATTTCATACTTGCCAGGTATGTGAGGACTTGGTAAAATGTGTACCTCCAAAAGCTGTCCTCAAGTGTCTGAGAAAATACTTTTTCCCTTGGTTTATTTATTTATACAGTCCAGTTTCTCAGTTATGTTTCTGCTAATCTAAGACGAGAGCTTCACATTTCAAGTATGGGACAGTCTGACCAAACAAAGTATTTTTTCTGATAAAGAAGGTTGGCAGGAGAAAGAGCAGTGACACATTTTCCTATTGATATTGTATTTACTTTCTTTTGCCCCTTTTTTCTAAGTAATGAAGATCATATAGAAATCTCTGACACTTTCAGAGAAAACGGATTTAAGTACACCAATTTTAGAAGAGGAGTTCTCTGTAAAAAAGACATATTTTTTTTTCTTCAGAGTTTTCTGTATTAATAATATAAAATATTCACAGAAATTCTCTGATGTACAAAGAAGTATTACTTTTAATACATTAAAAATGTTTTATTGTACCCGACTTAATGGACACTATTTTAGCTAACATGGATGTCCATTAGTAATGGCATTCTTTTTTATAGTAGGTAACAAAAAACAAACCTAACTCATCCTCAATTTGATCTTATCCTTTTCTTTTCAAATGATTATTGAAGACAAAATTTACATCGAAGAAAATTACATAAGTTTTCAATCACTTGAAGTATGAGGGTTTTCCCTTTTTGTTCTGAGAGAACAGGAGTTAGACTGCTTTTGAGGGCAGAGTCTATTGAGATGTGATCATGTACAGGCTTTACTTTTAGGTTACTTACGGTATGCTTCCCGTGGTGAAATTTTGCTTATGTTATCTCTATTTTGTAGGTGAGATTACACAGTGAGAAGAGTTAAGTGACTCCATTGCAGCCATACTTTTCAGGCAGGACTCTATATTTCTAGACTCCAGGATTTTGCTTATGTTGTAACCCTGTAGACATGGTAATAAAGAAATTCTGTCACTACTTTGGAACTAGAAGAGTGTCATTTCCAGTGATGTGCTTGGCCTAGGTGTCTCGAAATAGTGAAGTGTGGCAGAACCATGAAGCAGCCCCTGGAAGAACAGAGGAAACAAAGCCTTACCCTTCCACCCAGAAGGAGGCAGAATTTCAGGCTCCCGTGGAACTGACCCAGCAAGAAGCGGGACCCAGGGAGCCGGAGGAGCGACAGGTGGAGGAGGAGCACAGGCGGGCCCTGGAGGAGGAGGCCATGGAGCAGGTCGGGCGGCCTGAGCACCTCGAGGAGGAGCACGACCCATCACCCGAGGAGCAGGATCGGGAGTGGACGGAACAGCGTGAACGAAAGGAAGCCGGACTTGCGGCAGGGGAGGTTCATGCTGAGGTATGAGGTTACCCAACCAGTCGGCTGGGGCAGGGGCTATGGCTTTGTCTCTACATAGCATTGATCCATGAACCTCGCAGGACCACTTCTGTAAGGATTTTTCTAGTAAACACTAGAAAATCCGTGGTTGGTTGAATCTGCACGTGGGAAACTGAGACAGAAGGGCCCCCACAGGGAGGCTTTGGAGGATCCCTACATACTGAGCTGACTAAAAGTTATGTGAAGATTCTCACTGTGCTGAGGGGCCATGCCCCTAACCCCTGCATTGTTCAAGGGTCAACTGTATCAAGGAAAAAGCCCATGTGTAACAATCTCTAAAATAAAATGGGGGTGATTTCACTAAGTCTTCCATGTACTTGTTTAAATGTTCTGTTGTGACGTTAGTAACATAGCTCCCTTACCCCAGAAAGATGACTGGGGAAAAGAGAAGGTGCTATAGGTGTTTATTTGTCAAGAGTGCACAGTAGGGCGGGGTAGGAGGGAGGCTCAGTGGGGGGGATATGTGTATACCTATAGCTGATTTATGTTATTGTACAGCAGAAATCAAAACATTGTAAAGCAGTTTTCCACCAATTAAAAATTTTAAAGAAAGGAAGAGAAAAGAGTGCACAGTAAGGGAGACTTGGGCACATCCCTTTAACAGACAAGGAAGCTAGATGGTCACCTCATCCTGCACTTTCTCAGCCTGTGCTCAAGGCCTGTGGGCATCTTGATGCCAAGAGTGACTCATTTTCTGTGATCAAGGGTACTTGTCTCCCTGTTCACTTACTGTTAAATCCTATCTTGGCTTTCATACATTCAAATTCAGGGTGGTTAGTAAGTCATCAAAAGCCGACCTTATTACTTAAGGATGTGCCACTGGTTACAGTGTCTGCTCAAGCTGAGCATTCCCCTCTCCATATGAGCATGGCCCTCTCACTCCACACCCCCTCCCTCCACACCCCTCTCACATAAGTAAGACTCATGAAAACAGCCATTGTTATTATAAATGATACTTTAAGAGAACTGAGAGCAGCACTGAAGCAACCAGGTATTTTTCTTACACAGCCTCTAAAGTGATACCTGACAACAGGCTACCTAGCTCCTACATGGATGCTGGTCATCTTTTATTTACAGCTCTGAAGCTCCATTTGCTCTCAAACTTGTTTCAAGACTTCAAGCTGCCAGAGGCTTGGCTGAGCAGGTGTGACGGTGCCTGTAGGTTTACTCTTAGACTGTTGCACACTTATGGTGGAGAAGCGTCTTCCAGTCTTGCGTCCATAAGCTTTCCTCCAAGATAATTCCCCGCTAGGTTTAATTTCCTCAACCATGCACCCTCTTTCCTTTGGTGAGAATTGTACGTGCTTGTATTAGTTGGGGGATGGAGGACAGAGTGGTAGATTGCTTAATGGAAGCAAAGTTGAAGAATTCCTGGATCAGATTTTCCTTTAGTCTGAAAATTCTCTCTTCTCATCCATTTTTTTATTTCTTTGAAGAAAACTGATTCTGCCTCTCCACCCTAACCTGAAATTTTACCTTTTTTGGCTCCGCTTAGCCTAAGATTGGTGTATGCATTGCTAGAGTTAATTAGCTTCCCAAAGTCTTCAGCTCTTCATGGAAAAGCCTTAGCCTCAACGTCAACTCACACATTGCCCCAATTAGTCTGAGGTTATTAAGTGCCCACTTACACCAGAGTCTTTTGAGCATACAGTTAATTAAAGCTGAAACATTTCTTCTGTTGTGTCCTTTTCCATTTGAGAGGAAGCACATTAAAAGTCTGCATTAATGCCAACAACGGGGGAAGGTCAAAAGAAGCCACGCTTATTCTTGCTAAAAGAAGCCAAGGGTGATTCAGAGAGAGTAGGAAAATAGCAGTGGAGTCCGGCAGCGGGTGGTGTTGGACCTAACATACAAGACAGTTGACTTGACAGAGAGGTATTAGTAAACCGGCCCTGCCTTCTGCCCGTGTCATGAGAAACGGGTGAAGGGCAGACCCAGGGGACCCGACTGCTCTTGCTCACTGTTCCCCAGGTGCATCCTTCAGCCAAGCCGGTTACCAGACTCCAGTCGCCATATGAGGAGCAGCTGGAACAGCAGAGGCTGGCGGCGCAGCAGGCGGAGGAGGCCCAGCGGCTGAGGGAGGAGCAGGAGGCCCTGCACCAGCAGCGGCTGCAGGGACACCTGCTGCGGCAGCAGCAGCAGCAGCAGCTCCTCGCCAGGGAGACAGCCCGACAGCGGCAGGATGGGCTCCAGGAGGGCCGGCTGCAGCGCCCCGAGCAGCCACGGTAGCCTTCTGACCGACCTGGGCGGTTCGGCTTCCAGTGTCCACAGGCAGATTAAAGACAGCTCCACATATTCCCTCCCTGTGAACTTGAGGGGCTCCTGTTGCTCATGGGAGCTAAGGCAGAACTGAAAATCAAATTCCAAATATTTAACTTCCAAAATAATCAACATTTTTTTTTTCTGCCTAAAAGTAACAGTTTAATCTCAAAGTAACCTATCAGGTTTTGTGTTAACTTCATTTTAGTTTTTGAAAAGTTTTATCTTTTATAAGGTATCTTTTAAAAGTGTACCTGGAATCTTTATTAAACCTAATTGGATAAGTTTAAGGAATACATTTATGGCTTTTAAAAGAATGTTGAAAAATTCATTGATAGCTCTCTTTAAAGATAAATGACTTATGTCAAACTGTGCTACTTAAGTTGTGTCCCAGAGTTGATGACTGTTTGTTTCCTTGCAGGCAGCAAGCTCCTTACGATGCTGTGGATAATGATATCGTTCAGGGAGCAGAGGACCAGGGCATCCAGGAAGAGGAAGGAGGTGGTGAGCTTCTTAGATGATGAATGTTTTAATAAAACTGCTTGGTAATATATAATGTCAACTCAGAGACATATGCATACCTGTGTACAGGTTTCTCCTGCTCTCTGAAAGAAGAGTGCTCCTTTGAAACCATTTGTAAGCTGAAATGGTATAGATTGAAGAAACAATTGCCATAGGAAACAAAATAAATTGAGATAAAGCACAAAATAACATGGCCAATAGATACACAAAATGAATTGAGACAAAGCACAGATGCTCACCGGCACATTCAGAGCCCTGGGAGTGTGATGTTGAGATGCTGAATGTAGGTCCCAGGGAAGGAGGGGGGTGGTGCCATTCTTGCTTCTCTGCTCAGGTGTGTGTTGCCTCCATACCTGCTCTCCCTCTCTACAAATGAAACACTAAATGGCCATTTTCACTTTCACCTATTTTCATAAAATTGAAAATCCTCTTCCAATTTCTTTCAGTTAGCCAAAGCAGGTACTAATATAGATCTTTCATAAGAGCGAAGTGGCCTAAAACAAACTTTCCGAAAGTGGAGGGTACCTATACGTACAGACATCTGTGCACCAGATTTGGTTGTCATTGATAGGTTTTCCTTTATCCTCCCCAAAAGTTCACATTGATGGCTGAAATCACCCAAGCTAATCTGTTTGCTCTCTAACATTCTAAAGTAGAGAGGAAATAGTGGTTTACTCTTCTTATACGGCATGCTTGCATGCTCAGTCGTGTCTGACTCTTTGCAACTCCATGAAGTGTAGCCTGCCAGGCTCCTCTGTCCATGGGATTCTCCAGGCAAGACTACTGGAGTGGGTTGTCATTTCCTACTCCAGGGGATCTTCCCAACACAGGGATCAAACTCGCATCTTCTGTGTCTCCTGCATTGGCAAGCAGATTGTTTACCTGAGCCATATTGTTTACCACTGCATCACCTGGGAAGCCCCTAAACTTCTTGTATGTTAGTACTTATTGCTAGCATGTTTTCATAGGAATATTAGGCTTTGGGAAACCTCTACATTTTCTTCTTACCTTGAAGACATATAGATTATTGCCTTGAAAGTTTTTCCAATTAGGTCATTAGTAGCTTTCATTTGTGGTACACATCTCCATGTCACTGAACAAATACTACTTGCTGTGATAACAGAACTAGAGAATAGCCATCTCTCTGGCAACGCTAGCACTTAGCTGTGTATCCTTTCCTAAAGAATCTAATGGAAGGTGATTACTGAACTCCCTCTGTAGCCTATTCTGGTATTTTATAGCTCTGATAGTCAAGAAATTATTTTCCTTATGTGCCTCCATGCAACACTTAAAGCTTTTCTGTTCCATTATCAGTAAGACTAGAGAACCATTTGTTCTCCCTTTTATTTAATGGATCCCTTGGTGCACTTGAAACAGGATGTTAAGTTACCTGTATCTTTATTTTCTGCAGGCTAAGTACTCTCCATATATTTAACCTTTCCTCTGATATCTGTGTGTGTGTTCTTGTCTAAATTCCCTATATTGAAATATTTTTTACGAAAAGTAACAAGTAAATGTGTGAGTATAAATATGTGATGTTTGTGGTATCGTCATCACTACCACCTCAGAGAACACAGGATGGCTGAATTTGTTTTTGAGCTTCACAAGTGGGGTTACCATTTCTTTCATTTCCTGAAGTAGCATCCATTTCTTTTTTTGGTACCTTGCTGTTTTCTCTGACATTACCGACATTTTGTCAATAATTTTAGTGATTTTCAATTGATTGGGCTTTATTTTATGGAGAAAGTTTCTATCATTGTTTTTGGCATAATGGGGGAAAATGCAGCTTCTGTTGTAAACATTTGTTTTAGAGAGTTAGAGTATGTCAGTTATCCACATTGTCTCTGTAGATACAAGGACTGGGAAAAAGATATACCTTCCAGAAAAGCTGAGACATGTACCTTATGTTGAGCTAACCTAGAGGGAGGGGAGAGTGAGTGATGTGGTCTGTAGGAAAGCCCACCGGTGGCTTGGCTTGGCTTTGAAAGGGAAGAATCCTGTCTGGTTCATTGGAGCTGATACGGGTTCCTTTGACTTGCTAGCCTATGAGAGAGACAACCAGCACCAAGACGAGGCGGAAGAAGACCCAGAGAATGGACACGAGCTGCAAGAACAAGCGCCCCACGAGGCTGACCCAGAGTCCGAGGGAGATGTAAGTGGCCTCTCGTCTGGCCGTGCCTCTTGGGAACTCACAAGGCAGGAAGGAAACATAAAGGTTTGCCTGACACTGTGACTCCAGCTCCAGGTGGCTTCCATAATTATGTGGTAACTGGTGACTGTCAACCATGGGGTGTTTGTGTGATGAGAATGGGTTAAAGGCTGCGCAGGGAAAACATCCAGGGAGTCGCCCTCTGGGCACTTTAGTAAAATTAAAATATAAGAGCAAAAAAGAGGCGCTGCACTATGTAGTAATTCTGAAAAATGAAAAAGAAAGCACAAAACAAAGCAAATGTGGCAGTTAGAGAACCAGAGAAAGGAGGTCAACCACCACGGAGCACGTTGAGCAGTCTGCTTGGGTGTAAATGTGTGTCCTGAGACTGTGTAATGTCTCAGCAGCCCAGTGACTGTCTTAGTAGACACACAGCTAAGAATGTGAGGTTTGAGAGATGAAAAACGTCTCCCAGATACCATAATGCCATAGAAAAATTAGAGTATTAACAGGTAGAGATATAATAACCAAAACTGTTCTTTTTATTTACCCAAGAAAGGACCAAGACTCCCAGTTCAGTTAGAGGGTCTGGGGCCTTGGCCTTGCCTGTAACTGTGTCCTTGCACTTATGCATGGATGATTTTGACAGCTTCCTGTAGCTCTCCTGTCATCTTTTGCCAGCAAATCAGCCACCACATTTATAGAATGCAGTCTGCTGTCCTCTGGGCCATGTTTATGTTGGTCCAGTGGACTGAGAGGAGGAGGATTGATATTCTTCCTTGATGAGCGCTGCCAAAGTCTTCCTGAGCTACTTGAAGCAACCTCGATGGAAACAGCTTTCCCCTGTAACTTGCATGGAGAGGTGGCAGGATATATCTACCCACCAGCTCCTCAATCAGCAGTTCTCAAAGTATGCTCCAGGGAACCTTAGCCTGAAATATTGTCAGGAAAGAACAAGAGCTGTAGATAATAGGAGAATATGAGAAAGCCAGAGGATGTGTAGGAGTAGGAGAGTGTCCATGAGAGAGCAAGAAAGCGAGTATGCAAGAGCCTGAGAGCAATGGACGGCACAGGGGAAGGGTGGGTATTCCAGTTCCTGATGTTTGGGAAATGCTGTCTGTCTCGATGGTTACCTGACTGCATAATCCTTCACTCTCCTTTCCTCAGTTGATTTGCTCTAGATAACACATAGGGAAATGTTGGCCTTTCTACCATGCCTTCCCTTAATTAGAAATTATTAGCCTGCTTGTCTCTCTGTCTCACCTATTTATTTTTTTTTTAAATTAGAAATATTTTTGTCCAGCTTCACTGAGGTTTAATGATTCTTCCTTTTTTTTTTTTTAATATCTAACATCTGTGCCTATTAAACCTTTTTTATTACTTGGTTAGAGTTAGAGCTAATCTGTATATTTTTATAAACTTTTGCAAAGGACATTCAGTACTTTTTTCCTTGAAGAAAATGCGTTACATTTCCCCTTTATTTCTACACAGTTTATTGATAACACACAAAAGGAAATCCATATAACAAGATTGTGGAGTAACTGGAGTTTAGTGTGAAGGTTATGATTTGTCACTCTCTATATCCCCAAGAAAAGTGTCATTTTGTTCTTGAGTGAAGTGTATAGCCAGGGAGGTGGAGATAATACATCAGCTGAGACTGCAGTGAATTCTTGAACGTGTTCAAGGCTCTGAAGTGAATTGAAGTAGAATTTTGTGGTCTGGAGACTAAATCTCACTCAGATTTCCCTGTCTCTGGGAAGCATTTGCTGCTTCAGTGAAGTGTCCTGTTGATGACCCCAGTGTGATCAGGGAAGCTCCTCCAAGCATCACCACTTCTGCCCAGCTTACATTCTAAAAATCTGAATCTTTATGAGGGTGTGTATTATTTTGAAAGGTGCTTTGCGAACCTAAGTGGGACATCCAGATAATTCTAATGTTGATAATGTGAAGGTTATTCATTGAACACAGTAACCGAGAACTATTTGAGAGGTAGGATGGGTTGGGGGAGGTATTTTTCAAAATATTTATATTGCTAGAAGTTGGGTTAAGCCCAGTCCCTCTTATTTTGTCTCTTAACAGTGCAGCATCTCTCGGCTTCACATTAGTGTTCCTTATAAAGAAATGTGATCCACACTAGCATGTGATGGCCTGCTCTTGAATTAGCCTCCTCTTGTCTCCTCAGAGGCCCTATTCTTGGGTCCCTGCTGGTGTGGTCTTCCTCTCTCCTCAATTGCTTTTCACTCGCTTACATCAGCTGGTTTGCAAAGAATAACTATAAAAATCAACGTACTGGTGAAAGCAGTTACCATTTGCCTATCTAAATCTCTCATTTTAATTATTTCTCCTACTTGGTCCTTTGGCTTTCATCAACTGTTTTTCTTGTCATCTAGTTATGCTCATATGACTTATGGCATTGGAGCTCTGAGAACTGTTTTGGAATCACTTGCAGGAAAGAAGTGCTCTTTGAACTTCTTTCTGATGCATCCGTCTCTGACAAAGCAGAGGCTTTATCTTTTGACAGCAGGATGGGTACCTGTGAGTCTTGGCAAGGATAGACCTGAGCAGTCTGGTAAAGGACAATTTAATTTTCTATCAGCCTGTGGCCTTTCAAATGAAATTAAACTTGATCCTGGATTTTGAAGTGGTGCTTGCCTCTCATTAAAATTTTACAGAGGGCAGCTGTAGGGGATATAAACCCAGCAGATGACCCTAATAATCAAGGCGAGGATGAGTTTGAAGAAGCCGGGCAAGTGAGGGAAGAAAACTTGCCGGATGAAAATGAAGAGCAAAAACACAGTCACCAAAAGCAACAGAACGCAGAAATGGAGGAGCATTTGGTGGTAAGTGGGTGCCATGATGGAGGGTGGTTTTAACCTGGGGATTTTATTGTTGTTTTTAATTAATTTATTTTAATTGGAGGCTAATTATTTTACAATATTGTGGTGGTTTTTGCCAAACATCAACACGAACCAGCCACGGGTGTACGTGTGTCCCCCCAACCCTGAACCCCCCCGCCCATGTCCCTCCCCACCCCATCCCTCTGGGTTGTCCCAGAGCACTGGCTTTGAGTGCCCTGCTTCATGCATCAAACTTGCACTGATCATCTATTTTACATATGGTAATATACATGTTTCCATGCTATTTCCTCAAATCATCCCACTCTTGCCTTTTCCCACAGAGTCCAAAAGTGTGTTCTTTACAGCTGTGTCTCTTTTGCTGTCTTTACATATAGGGTCATTGTTACCATCTTTCTAAATTCCATACATATGCGTTAATACACTTTATTGGTATTTTTCTTTCTGACTTCACTCTGTATGATAGGCTCCAGTTTCATCCACCTCATTAGAATGGACTCAAATGTGTTCTTTTTAACAGCTGAGTAATATTCCATTGTGTATATGTAGCACAACTTCCTTATCCATTCTTCTGCCAATGGACATCTAGGTTGCTTCATGTCCTGGCTATTGCAAACAGTGCTGCAGTGAACATTGGGGCACACTTGTCTCTTTCAGTTCTGGTTTCCTCAGTGTGTATGCCCAGCAGTGGGATTAACCTGGGGATTTCACTAAAGTGAAAGTGTTAGTCTCTCAGTCATGTCTGAACCTTTGCGACCCCATGGACTATAGCCCACCAGGCTTCTCTGTCCATGGGATTCTCCAGGCAAGAATTCTGGAGTGGGTAGCCAATCCCTTCTCCAGGGTACCTTCTCAACCCAGGGATCAAATCCGAGTCTCCTGCATTGTAGGCCGATTCTTTACCATCTGAGCCACCAGGGAAGCCCTGCAAATGCCAGGTTTTATGCAAAAGGTTTTAGTCATGACTTGTATGGACAGGAGGTTTACCTCATATGCAGTGCTCGCACTCAGGAGTGGGTCATGGGCATCCTGGGCTTGTTGGGAGTGAGTAGTCATCACTTCCTGCCCACTGAGGCATTGAAATGCACTGTTCATGGTGGCCTGCCTGTTCTTTGGCCCAGAGGACTGGAAAATGCGTCTCCAGTGTTCAGTAACCTGAACCTCTCCTTTTGTTTCAACAGATGGCAGGAAATCCAGACCAGCAGGAGGACAATGTGGATGAGCAGTACCAGGAGGAAGGGGAAGAGGAGGTAGGAAGGGGGAGGGCAGGAGGCTAGACTGCTTGGGGTCTCTCTCACCTGAAAAAACCTCTCCGAATGGGCTTTCATAGAAAGGTTCAGAGAGCCATAGGCTGGGTAAGGAAGGATGGTTTCGAGGAGAAATGGACCATAGCCATGGAGACATTTGGTTGGAAGATAACAAAAACAGGGTGGTAGAATTCTCTTCCCTGGTTTCCCTGGAAATTTTGAATTAAGAAGACACTTGACCTTCCAGGAATGGCATACTTAGGTTTATGTGATCCTTGTAAAAATATTTTCTCCTGTCTTTCCCTCACAAGAAAGAAGAACAAAGCTCTGCCCCTTGAGGGGCTGGACAAACCCCAGGGACTTTCTCTGTAGACATGGCCACTGCTCCTGCCTCATAGCGACGCCCCGTGGTATACGGCAGAGCACACTTAACACCCTCCAGACGTGTAAAACATTTTCACTTTTAAACTCTTCCCTTCTAAGAATTTAGTATCTTAACTTTAACAAGGAAGAAAAGGAAAAATAGGGAAGGAGCTCAGTTGAGTAAAATGAATTTGGGTAGAATCTCTTAGCATTTCATTTTAGTTTGCTTTTTATTGCAAACCTCTAACATATCACTGTTAATTAGCTTCATGGGACATCTACTTTGTGTAGTTGCATGTAGTGTGTAGTGCTGTTGTGTGTAGTGCCACAGTTGTGTAGTTGACTTATTAATGCTGTTGGTACCGTATGGACCACTGGAGCTCAGAACACAGGAATATGATACGGATGAGGCCCAGGCCCCAGGTTCGGTGTCTCTCTAGACCAGAACATGGTCCAGCAAATTAAAGCCCTGGTTCAGAGGTGCTTCTCAACCACCCCTTTGCAAATGTGTGACTCTGGCCCTACGGGGAGCAGCAGGAGCGGATGGACAAGGGGCTGCCTGAACCTACATGAGAGCCTGCTGAGGGGCCGGTGCTGCAGCCTCACGGGCAGGGCTCCCTCCGCTGGGGCTGCTGCCTCGCCTGGCTGCATTTGTCAGCTTTTCAGAACTGATGCTGAAGTTTGTGTTTATACCAGGAAAACAGAGAAGAACGTTGTTCTTTGCAGCCATTGGCAACGTATACCTGTAGTTTTACATGCAGTCTACCTGCCTTGATCCTCTTAGTCTCTCTCCTTTTTCTCATCCTGCTGTTCATCCTGATCAAACCCCTAAGCCGTGTCATCAGAAGAGAGTTAGAGAACCCAGCAGCCTTTGAATATGAAGACATCTGGCAAGAGAAAGATAATTCCTTTGGACCTCTCTTGTAACAGGATGTCTAGACTAATATTACTTGTTTCATTATGTCTGCTGCCAGGGATCTTTGACGGATTAAAAGAGAAGAGGCTCACCTTGGCTTCTTTTTAAAAATTCAGAAGGGTAAACATAAAATTTTAATCAGTATTTACTGATTAATTTTTTTTTTTAACTTCTGTATTCTATCAGTTAATGTGGGATCCAAGAAGGATCAAAGATAGAAAAGAAAGGCAGAGAGGTGGGAGGGAAGGAGGATGGTGACAGGCAGAGGCCCCCCAGGGCCCAGCCTGGAACTCCCAGCTCTGCACCTCTGTCCCCATTCTCTGACCCTGACAGACTCAGGTCATCATACCTTCTCCTTTAGGGTGGCTACCACGTGAGATCTCAGCAGAAGCCCAGCTAGCCTCTCTTCTTCCCTGGGTACCTTTCCCCTCTGCCCACTAAGTGTCCCTTGTTCAGGCTGCATTTTATTTTTTTGGCAGTTCTTAGGTGCTTAGCTATTGGATTTTCCCACCTCTTTCCATTGTTCTCAGTTCTTGCTTTGAGGAGGGAGAATTTCTGTATACCAGTCAAGGCCTAGTAATAGAGACGAAGTTCTCAGCAGAGTGCAGCAAAATGAGAAAAACAAAGAGGGATGCTGTCTGTGAGAATACATAGCCTGTCGTCTATGAGTGCCATGTATGTGATCACTCAGAACTGTAAAATGCAGGGTAATGTGCATCGTTCTTCTCTTCCTTAAGCCTCAGAGTCTTCCAGCTGACCCCTGAGATGTAAGGCCCACTGCCGCCGTTGGCTCCCCTCCCTTCCAGCCCACCATCAGCCTGCCTTCTGCACATTTGCCTCTAGGGAGGAATCGCATCTTGCCAGGGTTGTACGTGTTTGGAGGCACAGCCCATCAGACTTGTGACTTGAACCTTGAGAGTAGAGAACCCGAAACAAGTGTGATGTTAGGAAATCTGCGCTTTCCTGCCTTTTCTTATCTTAATGCAACAGTGTTTTCCTTCTAGGATCTGAAAACGACTGTTAACAAGCATTGATTGTTTTTGCTTTGGGATCCTTAGAAAGACATTCCTAAGATAAGACAGTCCTATGAAAAGCCATCCGCGTGTTGCATACTTTACAGATTTTTTTTTAATCTCCTTATGAGCAAATGAGACAAACTGTGAATTGCCAAAAAGTGCTGTGTGTACTTTAAAATGATTTAAATGTTTAAAAATATGGAGAGCTTAAATGACTACTGTGAAAAACCCAAGTGCTCTGTTTCCCCAATCTGACTAAAACCAGATTGATCTGAACATTCACGTAAGAACAGGTACAGGGTTTCCTGGCTGCCTTTAGTGGCGTGTCGGCCTGGGAATCACCACATCAAGAAGCTGTCCAGATGGCAGACCTCTGCTATTAAACATTAGCCGGCAAGCAGGAATGTCCATCACAGATTGAAGGTCTTTCCATGATCATGTCCCATCCATCTCTTTGGATTTTAGGCTTCTTGGTTACTTAAGGGCATTCTTCCAGTTCCTGGCTCACCCCCTAAGATCTTTGACGCATCAGAGAAAGGCATGAATACATATAGAGACTGGGTAGCTAGCCAAGACCATTCAGATTCAGGAGATCTGTTTTGTTTTGTTTTGTTTGAGCTGTTTATTAAACTTTGCCACATCACATAGGGACTTTTTCTAAAATGCCTAAATCATTAGATTTTAGTAATGAGTAATTTGAGTTACTTTGTCAACAAAGGTCCGTCTAGTCAAGGCTATGGTTTTTCCAGTGGTCATGTATGGATGTGAGAGTTGGACTATAAAGCAAGCTGAGTGACGAAGAATTGATGCTTTTGAACTGTGGTGTTGGAAAAGACTCTTGAGAGTCTTTTGGACTGCAAGGAGATCCAACCAGTCCATCCCAAAGGAGATCAGACCTGGGTGTTCATTGGAAGGACTGATGTTGGAGTTGAAACTCCAATACTTTGGCTACCTGATGTGAAGAGCTGACTCATTGGAAAAGACCCTGATGCTGGGAAAGATTGAGGGCAAGAGGAGAAGAGGACAACAGAGGATGAGATGGTTGGTTGGCATCACCGACTCCATGGACATGGGTTTGGGTGGACTCCGGGAGTTGGTGATGGACAGGGAGGCCTGGTGTGCTGCAGTTCATGGGGTCTCAAAGAGTCGCACACGACTGAGCGACTGAACTGAACTGAACTGAATGAGTAATAAGGAATGGTGCAGGGAGATATTTAACAAAATGTTTCCATCAGGTTTAGCCGGATAATAGAGAAGGTCAAGTGTAGAAGACATAACTGGCGTGTCCACATTGTAAAAAAGTAACATTTGGCAGTTATTAGTCTAAGCATATTTTAAAATGACAAACTCCGTATCATTTGTTCCCATTTCAGTAATGCCTTTAAGATGAGTTTGAATTACTCTTGCCCCCAAATGTAAAGAATATATTACTAGAATATTAGAAAAGGTATATTCATAAATTTTAAAAAATTACAAAATTTTCATTTGTGTGATACCTAAATTAAAAAGTAATTTAAATCAATGGTTTCCACCTCAGTTTATATTGTCAGTTGATCCACAACCTAACTTTTCTACAGTAGGTTCCAAGAGAGGAAAGAACTCATGAAACAGTATTTCTCTCTCTAGCCAGACATTCACTGTCACTCAGGTGGCTCTCAGGCTTTGCTGTGGGTGAGGATCCCCTTGGAAAGTACGTAAAACATACAGACCGCTGGATCAGACCTTACTCTTGGAGTTTCTGTTCCTATCTGTGTGGGACCTAGGAATTGGAGTTTTTCACAAGCTCGCATCTAATGCTGATGTTTCAGGAACACACTGTTTACAGAAATCTGAACCTGTAAGACTTCTTTGCAAAATGATGTACATCTATGTGCCTGCTTACTAAAGACTTTCTCATCAAAGTCTTAAAGTGGTCCTTGACCCCCACCATGCCACACACACACACAGAAAATTAAAAAATCACTGATTTTTATCTAACCCTTTCTTTGACAGATAAGAAATTTGAGCTTCAAAGAGGTTACATAAGTTTTCAAAGGTCATACAGTTTGTTATTGTTAGAACCATTCTTAGTCCCTACCCAGGTCTGCTTTTAAAAGTTATCACAATTTAGTATACCAAGCATAGTAACTGGGCTTCCCAGGTAGCCTGGTGGTAAAGAATCTGCCCGCCAGTGCAGGAGACGCAAGAGACATGCGTTCGATTCCTGGGTTGGGAAGATCTGTAGAAGGAAATAGCAACCCACTCCAGTATTGTTGCCTGGAAAATTCCATGGACAGTGGAGCCTGATGGGCTCCAGTCGCTGGGGTCACAAAGAGTAGGACATGACTGAGCATGCACACACATGCACATTACATTAAAGCATAGTAACTAAATAGTTGATACAGGCAGGTTTTTCTTGTTAGAAATTAGTGAATACAGAAGGAATGATGGAATTAGAAAGTCACCATTTTTGTAACCCCTAATTAAAACAGTTGATTTAGGAGCAGTCATCAATGGATGGCATCACCAGATTAATGGAGGTCAGGGGATTTTACCATGGAGGGATCAGGCTGTAGCTGTCTGTGCTCACTGACCAACTTTAGCTTCACTAAAGAAGAGCAGACAGTATATGCCTCCTGATGTGATAGACATATATGCCTCCAGATATGAAGTCTGCGGCATCATCTCTGAAAAATCTTTACTTTACAAATTGAATCTGAATTCATTCAAGCCTTTAAGCTAACTTCCTTTTGTAAGAAATGTGGAGGCTAAAGAAATAACTGACACCTCAAAGAAGGAAATAAATCCAAAATCTGGGTCATTTTACTGGACAGTAATTTAATATAGCATTAAGGAAAAAAGAAGGAAGTGGAATGGTGTTGGATGTGACTTTTGTTTAGATTAGAGCAAACCAGCTGTAAATAAACATATTTAAGACAATTGGGAAAATGTAAGTTAAGGACTAGACATTTGATGATGTCATGGAATTATTTATTAGATGTGATAATGGCATTATGATTATATAAGAAAAGTGCAGTGTGTTTAGAGATGGGTAAGGCTGAAATTACATGATATCTAGAATATTTAAGAATAATTCATCAGAAAAAAAATGATAGGTGATGCAGGCATGGCAACATTGAGATAACCTTTGAGCCTTGGTGATGGCTATCAAGGAGTTTATTGAATTATTGTCTTTGTGTGTGCTTGAAATTTTTCATAGTAAAAACAAATGACCTTATTGTTTATACAGCTTGGAGAGTTGCAGAGCCAAGGATTTAATCTAGCTCTGTCTGACTCCATGGTCTGTGTTAGGGGGTTGGCAGGCTACAGGCCTGGGTATATTTAATAAGTGAAGCCTTACTGGAACAAAAGCCTTGCCTTTTTGTGTACATGTTGTCTAAGGCCACTGCTGCGCTAGAGTTGGGTAATTGCTACAGGGACTTGATGGCCAAGAAAGCCTGGATATTTACTGTCTGGCCCCTTATAGCAAACATTTGCTAACCCTGATTTATTCTTTTCACTGTACCACAGTCTCAAGGCAGTTCCCTCCCAAACTCAACTACAGAATTTACTGTTCACTAGTATATTTTCATTATAAAGGCTATAGAAGACATGTCTTTTCACTGAAATCAACCGGGACACTTTAGCAATTTTCAATTAGTGAGACCTTAGTACAGTCTGAAATAAGTGCTTCACTGTTTTCATTATAATGTCCTGGAGAGTGTTGTTATTCTGTGGCTAAGGGCCAAAGAGAAGTCATTGGCCACTGCTACAGCCTACAGGTGAGGCAGAAGTGTCTTCTTTATAGCTCGCTCTACCAGGACACGTAAATACAAAATATACTCTATATTTATTTGGTGCCAGTGTGGTGTAGGGGCTGTGAGTCCAGCCAACAATGGACTGGTTAAACAAGACTCATGAAAGCCAGCATCTTAGGCTGGCATCTTTGAAGGTTCATCTTTGTAGACTCCTAATAGGCCAGGGTCCCTCCAGAGTGAGTCTGGTGGGTTGCAGTTCACTCTGCTGAAGCTGGGCTATGGACATCTTGATGCAGCCCTTAATTTGTTGTTCCTTAATTATAACACCAGAATACTTTCCTTTTCTTGCCCATTTCTGGGATATTTAACACATATATACCGCCCCCCCCTCCCAAATTAGGTAATTTTGTACTACTCAAGAAGACTTATGCCATTGTCATAGTTAAGTTATAAAATATATTACCCTCTATTTTCATGGATGTGATCATTAAATAGAGATTTAATGATCAAAAATATTTGGATTCTTTCTCTGATTTGCATTTTGAGATAATCAGAATCAATGACACATAATAGTAATAGCATACATGAAAGAGAACTACTTAAAACAGAATTGTGTTAGAATACAAAGAGATGCAGGGATTTGAGGTAGCTTAATAACTATTCTATGAAGAAACTGAAATGATTATGTTCTGTGTTCTAGATATTTTAGCCAAAAAAGTTTATTCTTAATTATAGAAATGTATATATACAGGTTTTCCTCTGTTCACTATTACACTCTAGGTAGGTGGTGGTGCCTGATTTCTGTGACTTGTAAATATCTGTAAGAGCAGATATTTTTTGCATTGATTCATTCATTGATTCATTTATTCAACAATATTTATTAAGCAGTTGCAGCATGCCAAGCATGCATCTAGGTGTTGAAGGCAGTTAGTTGAGTAAGACTGATGGTTCCTGTCTTCGCAAGAACTTAACATTCTGTCAGAACTTTCAGACTTTCATAGTTCTCTCTTTTAGAAAAGAGGAGTTTTTTAACTTTATGAGGTGAATTTCTTCAGGTGTTATACTTGGAGTGTTAACCCTTATTCAAACAAATCAGAAACTCAACACACTAAAGTCCCAGATCCTGAATAACACTAATTTTTTTAGTAAGTTGTTACACATTTATTCATGGCTAATAGACAAGTCAAATCTTTGTCTTTTCACATTTATTTTTAGTTTAATTTTGTCTTTACTGATTTGAATGAACTTTTTGGAAATCAGAATATGTTGCTTCAAGTCTTGAAATGATCCAAGTGTCCACTTGATGTCTCTGGTTTGTTTTAGGTTCAGGAAGATTTGACTGAGGAGAAAAAAAGGGAACTGGAGCATAATGCTGAAGAGACCTATGGTGAAAATGATGAAAATGTATGTGTAGGATATGCATATTTCTATTGCACACGTGTGCCTTTGTGCACATGAGTAGGAGACACCTATGTGTAGTTGGAAAGATCGCAGTGGGTACATCTAAGGTGCCACGGAGTATAACATTAGGAATTAGGAAATTGTGTGACAGTGTGAAGATCAGAAAAGACAGTAGCACTCTTGCCTATTGGAATATTTTCTTCACTTGTTTTCTTTCTGTTCTGTTCTTTTTTTTTCAAAGAGGAAATTATTTATACCACTAACTCTGTGTCCTGTTGCTTAGTCTTCCTTTTTTTTTTCTTTTAACTTTAAGGCCGATGAGAAAAATAATGAAGGAGAAGAGCAAGAAGTTCGAGATGACAACCACCCCAAAGGCCGAGAGGAGCAGTATGAGGAGGAGGTGGAGGAGGAGGAGGACGGGGCTGCCGCCGCTGAGAAGTCACGGCGAAGAGCTGAGATGTAGCCCTGCCCGATTTCACAGGCAGAGCTCAGCTGCCGGGTCCTTTCCAAGCTGCTCAAACATAAATCTGCCTACTGAGCTCTAGGGTATTTAACTACAAAAATTAAAAATTTAGACTTTTTTTAACTTTTGTATTAGAAATGCTCATACATTTATATGAATATATTTTGATAACCTAGGTTAGAGCTTCTTTTTTATGCAAGCAAGACCTGAATGAGAAGAAAAATGATAGAGCAGACGTTAGGCTCTGAATCTCATTGTTCGCAGATTATGTGATACTGGAAAAGACCTTGATTTTGTATATGTTTCAACTTGTCCCTTCTCTGTCTTCCAGTTTCCAAGTGTTCTGCTGTCTGCCTTTGATGAAATGCAGAATTTCAAGATAGGGAATACTGAAAAATGCTGTACACATTTTAAGGAGAATGGCCAATTTACTAATTGGTGCCTTTCCAAGGTTCTTATGTATAGTTCTGATAGAATTTTCACCTGTCTATGTATCTCTGGGATAAGACTCATAGACAGTGACATGTAGTTAGAAAGACATTTTGGTTATAAAGACACTGTTTTTCAGGCTTCTTGGATCAGTTAGAGAAATGTTTTATCTTACTTAAGATCACAGGTCTTCCTCTTGAATTAAATTTAAAAGTGAGATAGTATTAAAACTTAACATGGCAGTATTCTGGACTTAGCTATTTCAGGATTCAAACAAGGTATGACACACCAGCATATTAACCTTTTGAAAGGACTGACACTTTGTTTAATAACGAATTTGGTGTGTATGGGTGGCATTTTCCACATGAGCACCCCTTCTTTTTTTCGGTGGTCACCCAGTGATAGCCTTGTTTTAGTATCTAATTCTGGACAGTAATACATATTTCCCTGTAAACCCTGTGCCTCAGCACTTAATCATTGATGACAAGCATGAATATGAAGAAGTACCAAACTGTACAACTGGTCAGGATATTGTTCAAAAACTATATGGTGAAGTACATAAGGTGGTATGATTGGCTCTCATGACTTTTCTGTTTGCTGGGATTAGGTCTGCATTATACCCATGGATACAAGTTTAATGATGATGAATTATACAAATCCCTTAAAATTAAAAATCAAAATTTCCCATGGGATAGAGACATATTTCAGTCTCAAGTATAAAAATGTTTAACTAAATAGAATTAGGTTATATCATTCATTCATATGTGTGTGGTTTTATAATAGTACTTTCAAATTAAAACTGATTTCAATTTGTACTATTATTGTGTGAATGTAATTTTATTTTTAATAACCACACTCATGTATGGTTTTTGATTATCCCAGATGAGTGGTTATGTTTGTATGCATAGGAATGCTTTGTTCAAATATATTTTGGATTTTCAGTAATCATGAATCAAATCTTACCTTTATGTATAAAAACCCTTTATGTAATGTAAAATGTATAATATTGTACATAATATTCAGAATACAATTATTTTGGTAAATTAGTTTGTATTTTTAATGTCCCAGTTGCAGTATTTAATTATTTGAAACACATTGAAACTTGGTAATAGTCAATAAAATGAAAAGGAGCAAGCGGCAAACCTTCTAAAAGTATGTGATTTTTTTTTATTAGTTTCTGATCTTACAACATTTTTCAGTTCTTTTTCATAAAAGGGAAATTTTAAGAGTTACAGTGTATAGTAATGAATTACAAAGTGCTTTTCCCAGTCTATTCCTATTTTGCTATCTCTTTCTCTGCTTGGATTAGCAGATGAGTTTTTCTCCCCTCTTTTCTAAAGAAAGAGCTAAGAATGTTTATTTTATTTGAGCTAGTCCTGGAGGGGAGAAAAAAGGAATGTCAGTCAGAGTCATGTGCACACACACAAAATAAACAAAAAACTATTATATCTTCCCTGGAAAAGCAAACAAAACAATCACAAACCATTCCACTCTTATAGCACAAAGTTATAGAGCTGTTATAGCCAATGTTTGGAAGAGAACTGATCAGCCAGAGCTGATCTACATTAATGAGATGAGCAGAAATAAAATGTCACTTGTATTTACCTTGCCAATTAATCTGTGACTTGGTACAACCCATTTGTCAAAGGAGTTTGTACCAGTGACATAATAAGAAGCGGGGAGAAAGGCACGTTTTTAAAGGACAAGTACAATGGAGCACAAAAACAGCTATGTTAATATTAATACAAATGGAATAACTGGATATTTAAGAGTGATTGAGTTAGATCTAGGAATAAGAGTAACAGGGAGGTCACAGTGACTCACTGTGATAAAGGAAAATGATGGACAGACTGTTTATACTTAGTGTGAGAAATGGGAGAACAGGGTCCCCCTTATCCCCACAGTGCTCTTTTAAGGCTCCTGGAATTCCCTTCTTACAACTGAAGAATTTTGGTGTCCTGAATCATGTGAGGTTGTTTAAACTGCTCTGAGTTCTTTATTTTGCTTTTAGTTCTCATTACATCACTTTGGTACATTGTCCTGTGGCAGGTGGCATAGCATTAAAAAAAAAAGTCAATTTCTGCTCTTGAATTTTCTTTTGGCTTCCCTTGTACTGTCTACTCCTAGTTTGCTTCTAACCATCCTGGCTACTCTTTCCCAACCTCTTTTTTTTTTCTCTCTCAGATTTCTCTTCTGTCTGCCCCTAGCATATCAGTGTTCTTCAGCTTTTGTCCTGGACTCTTCTCTACCCAGACCACTTCTCTCTCATGTCTTCAACATATCTCCAAATTTATCTCCTCAGCCTAGCTTTCTGTGACCCACCCTGCCTTATGATTTTCAAGACTGAAGTTGCCTTCTTGCCTTCCTAAAACCTACTTCTCTTCCTAAGCTCTGAATCTCAATTCATAAAGTTTCCCAAAACAGAAGCAAAGTGTGTCCTTGATTCTGTCTTCTCTCCCTATGGATGTTACCAATATATCATTTGCTGATTTCTTTTCATCCCTACTGTCCTGGTTCAGGCCCTTGTTATCTTTTATGTGGACCACTGTAATAGTCCCCTAACTTTTCTCCTTTTTTACCCTCTCCTGTCCCTAAGGTCTGTGTCATTGTGATCTTTCCAAAGATAACACACTATGCCATTACAAAATTATTTAATAAATTGCTATTGCACATAGAAAAAGTTCCAAACTCTGTAACATGACTGACATAGTTCTTCATAACCCATCTTAACTGCTTCAGCCTTGTAATTTATACTCTAATTCTGAATCATAATAAGAATGACTCATCTTTGTCAAGCACTAATGTCTTAGTAACCAACCTGGACTCCTGCCCTTGGGTGGGAAGTTGATTTGACAAGAGCTGATAATACTACCCCACATCTTGGAACAAAGTGCTTGATCCAAAATGGGCACATGATTCATGACACGCCAATTTAGTTCCTTCCCTGGAATTTTTTTGTTGGAGGGAAATTCTCCACGGTGTTTTTATACATCTTGTGAATTTTTACCCTGAACAATCTTTTCAAGGGTATTTGCCTATCAAACAGCCAGCTGCTAGAGACAGTATCTCCCGCTGGGTCAGAGGGCATGTTTGTTCCTGGCTGGAATAAAAAAAGAGAATGTCTCCCCACAGGGTGAAATTTGGGCAGATTTACTAGCAGTCCTATAAGATGGAGAATTTCTTAAGATCAGAGATCCTTAGGAGAAACACAAGCACTGTGGCTGCATCCTCTGACCTGGGATGTTCCACATCAACCTCACGACACTCGGGGACCAAGGAGGAACTGATATGAACAGGAACCTCATGTTGCCTCCTGTGCCATGAGAAATATTTGTTTTTAAGCGAGCAGACTAGAGTCTTCTACCAGCATCCATGGAACTGTGGCAGGCTAACTTGTTAGCTTGTAAGGTGAATCTCAGACTCTGCACAATTACTGACATTTTTGCAGGCTGTAGCAAATGGAAAAAAGCATGTCTCTTTCCTTCCAATAGCAAAGCTACCATTTGTAAATATACATCAGCTGATGTCTGTTTTCTCACTTTTGTGGAGAAACTAGTCTACAGAGGTAGAGAACAAACCTAACCTGCAAAGACAAGCAAAAGGCAGAGGGAGGGAAGAAAAGAGCTGTGACAATTTTTTAGTCCCTGTATTCTGCCATCCCTGATACTGGGCAGGTCCACCCACAGATTGATTAATGAGCCAATAAATTATACTTTTTCAGTTGAGCTAGTTGGAAATGGATTTCTGTCACTTGCCACCTGAAGATTCCTGACTAATACTTGACTAACACTCAGTTCCTTTAAATCATTGTGCTCTCTTGTAACATGATAAATTTGCTCCCCCCAAACACTGTTCATTCAGTTTGCTTTCCTCTCCCTTACCTGGCTTATTGCTTAAGTCTCATCTTAATACCAATTCTGAGAAGTGTCTACCTCTCATCCCACCCCTGTCTAGGTTGAATATATTTTCTCTGTCCCCCTATAGCATCCTGTGTTTCATATCACGGTACCTCCCACAGAACATGGAAATAGACTATCAACAGGTCTGTGCATTCCTTGACATAAATGTTCTGTGAAGGTGGAGACCTTATTTCCCTTGTTCACTGTTGCAACCCAAGCACTAAGAACTTCAATATATATTTACTAAATGAAATCTCAAAATCCTTACCTGTAAAATGAGAATATTGATTGTTTCAAAATCATACAAGTAAATGGCAGAGCTAGGAAGGCTTTCCAGGTGAATCTGACTCTAATGTTAATTCCACATACAGCCAGGGTTGTATGGATCTTTATCCAATGTCTCATTCTGAGTTTCATATATTAAGAAGGTATGTTTTAAATTTTGCAAAAAACAAATGTAACAGGAGTAAAAAGCAAGAAGTCTCAGCCATAGAGTTTTGAGGAAGAACCAAAAAATTGCAATTACTTGACCTGAGAAAGATACGGTCAAGGGAAGAGGTAACACTGTATGTCTGTCTTCTATGAAGCATCAATTGTAACATGAATAATAAAGAATGTCTTGAGAAACGAGTGAATGAAGTTGTGAAACCTAGAGAATGAAGTTGTGAAACC